TTTGTCTTCTCTCAACATCCAGAATGTATCTTGTTGTGATGTCTGAACGATCTTTTGTTTTCACATCATGAACTACTATCTCTTTTCACCATATCATTGTTTCTACAGCTGATCCACAAACTGAAAGTAAGGAGGACCAGTGGCTTGGAGTCACCGTGGCAAGTCAAGGGCCTGGTGGGAAGGTGGTGGTAAGGCAACTTTATGAATTGTTTTTTTCTGCAGGTTATCGTGCTTTGAGAATAAATGCGCTTGAGGTTGGATGTTGAGCTGTGGATTTATGACATAATTTCTGTCTGCGCTGTGTCCCAAATTCTGAATTTATCATTGTGGAGACTTGGTGAGTAGAAGTTGGACTGCACCTGTGCAGAGACAGAGAACTAACTTTTTATCTTGTTGGTACTTTAAGATTGCAGGGGTATGTGTCTTATCCAGTCTTGTTCAGCAATGGCAAGTTACACAAGAAGACATTACTGGGAATAATGTTTTGTTCTTGACATTGACAGGCAGTAATTTTTAATGAGACTGATTTGTTGTATATGGTTGTTCATTTTGACTAGTATAATGCCTTTGAAATTTGATTTATTATTTAATCACTTGTACCGAGATACAGTGAAAAGTATTTTTTTTTGGGCTAACCAGACAAATAATTCCTTACATAAGTATATCAGGGTAATAGAACAGAATGCAGAATATAGCATTACAGTTACATTTATAATGAGCAATAAATGCTGGCCCAGCCAACAATACCCACATCCCTTGAACAAATGAAAAGAAGTTAATGGAATAATCAGTTGAACTAGGCAGTGCAGTGGCTTGCCATTTTCAACTTGAGAACTGCTTTTTAAATTCACGTGAGAATGATTGAATGAGTTGCCTTACTCTATTCATTGTGAGGGTCCAAACTTGTTAAGGTAATTTAACCCAGTTCTCAGTCCATAAAAATTCATGGTATAGCATTACTCAAGAACCAACACTGATTGACCCAGATCTTCTGCTCAACTTCGAAGATCGTCAATGCTGCACAGAGATCTCTTTGGCAATTTTTCAGCTGAAATTCCCATCCCAGCTGATCAGTTATAGACAGACAATCATAGAGAACACTGACCAGCACAAACGGAGCCAGGATATTCCCACTTTTCACAACGGTAACTGCCACGTTCAGTAACGGTCTCCAGTCTTTCAGTAAGTGAGTGGATTAGTGATCAGGTAAGTGTGTAGTCTGGTTGGGTGAGGGATAGTTTGAGCAGTGTAATTTGATTGGGTTGATCGGGAGTGAGAGGGGGATGTGAAATTGTTTAGTTACTCTTGCTAATCCTGCAAATTACATTAAGTGATAAGCATATCTATCTCGGGTCTCTGAGACAGCTCGGTGTTGGTTTGCTAAGTCTCCAGGCATCAGAAATCAACTCTTCAGAAGTTTAAATTTTCCGGGAAACTTCTCACATTTACGTATGTCAGGATTTTCATGGGGTTCTGATGCACATCTCCCAATTTGTAGCTAATCTCTGACAGTCTGGATACTGGACCCTTTACTGAGGGTTCCTGAAGGTAACCATTGTTACTAAAGATAGACATCCTTTTGACACAGCATGCAGGATGATTCTTGTTGGAAATGCAACAAGCCTCATCGCTGAGATAGTCAATGGGATAATTAGAAGGTTCCACTTGACAGGCTTCTGAGTTTTTATTTCTTGGGCATGCTTGGTACTGGTCCATAACAAAGTTGTGTCCCCAAAACGCTAATCTTTACCGTGTAATTGGAACTGAAATTCATATTGCTCTCATGTATTTTGTCGATCATAAGATACTGGCCTGGTGACCTGCTTAGATGTTTCAAGAAATCTGCAAGATACAGCCATTGTCTTTTGCCTCTGTGGAGATGGAGGATTGTTAGGCTCATCGACTAATAGTTTGAGAATGGGCCACTGCTAACTTCGCAAGTACATGAATGGAAATACCATATTCTATTCAGGAATTGGTCAATGAATGATGTAAAGCTACAATAAATTCCTTCTGCAACTTACATTTAAATTGGGCTTTTCATCATTGCCTGGGAGACCTCCACTTCTGTTCTTTGAAATAGAGCCAAAGAAAGAAGGGAAAGATTAAAAAGGGACCTAAGGGGCAACATTTTCATGCAGAGGGTGCTGCATATATGGAACAAGCTGCCAGAGGAAGTGGTGGAAGTTGGTACAAGTACAACATTTAATAGTCATCTGGATGGGTACATGAATAGGAAGGGTTTAGAGAGATGTGGGTCAAATGCTGGCAGATGGGACTAGATTAATTTAGGATATCTGGTTGGCATGGACAAGTTAGACCGAAGGGTCTGCACAACTCTATGACTCTAATGTTTGTTATCCACCAGACCAGGCTGATAGGGTGTTGGTTTACTCTGTCACCAAAAGACTGCACCTCAGACAATGCAGCATGTAGGACCGTTTTTCCCAACCTGGGACAAAGACTCAGAGGCAGGCAGGATTCAAGCAAGTGGAAGATGCTTATTCAAGCAGACACCGGTTTATGCAGGGAGAGGGCCAAAGGATCTTCCCTGAATTGGAAACAAAGAAATACAACATTTTTATACATTTTTGTGTTACAGTAATCAAATACAACATAGTCATCATCATTCCCCTTAATTCAAACACCCAATCCTGTGGGACACCTAATCAGTGAAGGGCACTTCCATGGACAGCCCCAGGTTCCCATGATCTTACGATATAAGGTAGACATTGTAATCACTAGGACATGGGATCTTCCCATGCATCCTATTCATTCACATTCCAAAAGTTTAATGGCTATACTCCTTCAGGTCTTTCTCAGGCTTGTCTATCTGTAAGGACAGCTCAAATTCTATTCCCATTGTGTTTTGGTGCTGTCTTTTATCACTTTCAATTAATCCTTTTATTTTCCCACTGTCCCAATTACATAATGTAAAAATAAAAAGTCAGTTAGTTTTAACTAATTGCTATAAGGTTAACTTCTGTTATAAAGTTAATTATGAGTGTAACGTTATACAACTACCTCTACTGTCAGCATTTTGTAATTTATGGGTTGTGATCAATCAATCTTGCCTAGGGCATAAGAGAAGGTGTCTTCTAAGGCTAGTTAATCTTTACATCTAAGCTTAATTTTTTTTTAAGGCTTGTTTTATGTCCTGATTATGTATTGAAACCAATTTCTATGATTTGAGCATTTTTTAGCTATAAACTATTTAGTATTACAGGTAGTTTCAAAGAGGCAACTATTTACTACAAAATAACTTTAGCTGTTATCCTTGCAGCTGCTTGAGGACCTAATCTAGCACCTGACTATTTATTTATCGGGACAATCACCCTTTCATTAGAAGAGCTGGAATTGGTCATTTATCTGTCCTAAGGCATTCTTTCATCCGATCTGTCTCGGATGGGAACATACAGCGTTCTCTTACTGACCTTCTAGCAGTTTTGTTCAAAGGTACCATTGTATTTCTCTGTGTGAGCAGGCTGCTTAGTTTTGCTTAGCCTTGTCTGCTATCTTGTAAGCAGGCGTGGGCCACTTAGTGCGTTCAGGTGCAAGCCACCTTACATAGCCAGGTACAGGTCACCCCTACGCAGCACATCCTCAGCAATGCGCTGTAATGTCAGCTTTGATTTCTGTGCTCAAATTCTGGACATGGCCTTGAATTTTATGACTAAAGAAGGTGAGAGTGCTACCAACAAAGTTACAATGGACCCATACATTGCCAATATTGTGTTAGATTGATTTGTGCAAGTGGCTTATTGCAACAAAAACATACATTGAGGGGAGATTTTCATTGGCAAGATATCTATTTTCAAATATGGCCCATTTATTTCCCCACAGGTTTGTGCACATCGTTATGAGAAGAGACAACTGACGCAACAGGATGAGAAGAGAATTTTAGTGGGTCGCTGTTTTATTTTGAGTGACAACATCGCCATCAATCCAGATGATGACTGGGACACTTCGCCAGCGCAATTCTGTGAAAATGTAGGGGATGATCACCAGGGACTGCTTATGTGCCAGCAGGGCATGGCTGCGGGATTCACGCACCCTAATCATTATGCATATTATGGAGCACCAGGTGGCTGGAACTGGCAAGGTCTGGCATTGATAAATGAATTCTGCAACTTTTCTTTCATATTAAGCTTGAAAAGTTATAGGGGTGTCAATCTTGTTGAGAGGAGTAATAAACCATTTCAGACTGGGTGAGAATACAGTGCAATTGTGTTGTTGATCCTCTTAACTCCAGAAAGAAAGTATTTTTTTCTCTAATAATGCAGGAAATCATTCACATTTCTTGGGCTGTTTTTGGCTTTTGTTAGCGTTATGTTGGCTTGGAGAGGAATCATAAAGGCCTCGTGGAAAAATTGCAGTCAGGTTCAATGGACGTCATAGAAACATATTCTGCATGCATGAAGAAGGAATGCCAGCACATCAGCAGATTGCCTGTCTTGCTTGGCCAGACGAGCTGATTGAGATTAGACGGTAACTGTTGTTCAGAGGGTCAGTCCTCTGTTCTTGATAATAGAACCCAGTCAAGGTGAAGTTTCTGATTCTTCTCACCACCTTGGGAACACTTCCTTCATTTTATCCAGTTTATCTTATTTTTGAAGCAGATGTTGACATACGATCCAGTTTTCTTTTTGCTTTGTCTGACCTGTCAAGAACTTGTGCCTTCTTTTGATTCTTCAGATCTCGGCTGAAGTATTTTTCTGTGGGCATCAATGTAAAATCAGAGTAGCTGATGGCTCTGTTGGCCTGGCTTTGTTAACCCTCTGGAACGGTGTCTTATGTATGCCAAGCATTTTGAATATTGCTAGTCTTTTTGATAACATTTGTTCATCCATTTAATTTGCACAATAACCAACTGTTTATCCAATTCCACATGCCACCATCTTGTGTTTGCATGCAAACATTGGTGAGGCACAACAAGCGTTTTGGCTTAACCCTAGCAATGATATTTGATTTGATTTTGATTTATTATCACATGTACCAAAATACAGTGAAAAGCTTTCTTTATGAGCAGTACAGGCAAATCACAGCAAGCAAAGGATGTACAGATTGAAAAAATACTTAGAGGCATGCAGGTTACATTATTTGAGGCTACAGTTATGTACTGGCCAAAAGAAGCTGTTCCTGAACCTGCTGGTGTGTGTGTTCAGGCTCCTGTATCTTCTGCCTGACGGAAGAGACTGAGGAGGTCATTACCTGGATGTGATGGGTCTTTGATGTTGGTCACCTTTCCGCGGCAGAGGGCCATGTAAATGGAGTCAATGGATGGAGGCCAACCTTTCGTGATGGTCTGGGTTCTTCACACCACCTTCTGTAGTTTCTTACAGTCCCAGGCAGAGCAGTTGCCATACCAGGCCATTATGCACCCAGCCAGTATGCTTTCAATGGTGCATCCGTAGAAATTGGTGAGGGACCTTATGAACATGCCAAATTTCCTGAGCCGCCTGAGGAAGAAGAGGTGTTGTTGTTACCTTCTTGACTGTCACATTTACGTGGGAAGTCTGGGACAGGTTGTCGGTTATCGTCACTCCGAGGAACGTGATGCTCTTCACTCCCTTAGTTTGAACACCTGAGATTATTAGTATTTGTAGTGTTGCTCAAAGCCATTATGTTAGACAATTCAGCGTAGCATATAAACCCTTATTTTTCACCTGAAGTTGGCCCCAGCTGAAAAGTTTATGTACCTTATGTTTCCATTTTAAATTTTGTATTTTTGAGGCCAATACAAACTTACTTTGGTAACTTGTTACAACATTCAATTGAGAAAGCTTTACTCCTCTCCATCCTCTTCTAATTTCCACGGTGCCGCACTAGACTCCTCGGATAAGGTGGAAAGGTAGATGGCTTGCTCCCAAGGCACAGCTGATGCCACTCTGAACAGATGGTGTTGTTTGAGGGATGAATGTTGGCAATGACAACAGGGGAATTTGTTACTTTTTCAAAAATAGGTGTCTCAGCATCTTTACATTTGTGAAAAGGCCAGCAGATTTGGATTTACATTTCCCGTGAAGACCGACCCTGCAACAGCTCAGCACTAAAGTGACAGCTTAGATTATGCACTAAAGTCCTAGAATGATGCTTAAACTCACAAGCTCAAATGAGTGCTGCTAAGTGAACAATTGTCACATTCAGGAATATATGGCAAGATAACAAGCCATTATGCTTCAAAATAGACTGAGCTCAGCTTTTCTGATTTGATGTTGTTGTCCTTTTTGTGAAACATATGAAACAGCCAAACCAATGAAGATATAAATAAACATCATTGAAGGACAATATTACCCTTACATGTAACATTTGTAATTTAAACAATACATTTTATTTAGTGAAGCCATTTACCAGAAATGTACTTCACATAATTTTAATTACAGTTAAACTTGATTCCGTATTTTCAGCGTGTGTTAATACAAGAAAATATATCATGAATAAGTCATGAAGTTTTGATGGATCATTTTCTTTTCTTTTTCAGGAACTGTCCAAGTCTCACAAAAGAATATCACATTTCTCGATCTCAATATACTGTCTGATGGTCCTTACATACTGAAAGAAACAGGAAAGACTCACAGCTACATAGGTATTACTTAGTTTCTGCAAGGCTTTCTCCATTTTCATCCCTCCACTGTTGGAGACACTGACTCATACCAGACTTTTGTACAACAGGCAGCTGTAACCATCCCCACCATACACATTGGATACTCCTCGTGTCTTTGCATACAGTTCAGCTTGGGTAGGATGAATGTAACACATAGGGAAACAGCACGGTTGCTCAATGGTTAGCACTGCTGCCTCACAGTGCCAGGGACTTAAGTTTGATTCCAGCCTAGGGTGACTGTTTGTGTGGAGTTTGCACATTCTCCTTGTCTCTGCATGGGTGTCCTCCCTCAGTTGTAGTTGTCTTTTCCCTAGGATGGGTGATTTTAAGATTGAAGGGGACGTTTTTAAGGTGATAGGAGAGAGATTTTAAGAGGACATGAGGGACAGATTTTTAACACAGGGGGTAGTTGCTTGTGGAATGAACTTCCTGAGGAAGTGAAGGATGTGGGTACAATTACAACATTTAAAAGACATTTGGATAAGTATACGAATAGGGAAGGTTTGGAGGGATATGGTCCAGGAGCGGGCAGGTGCAACTAGTTTAGTTTGGGATTATGTTTGGCATGGACTGGTTGGACCGAGGGGTCTGTTTCTGTGCTGTGTGACTCTATGACTGTATGACTGTATGTGCAGTTTAGGTGAACTGGCAATGCTGAAGTTGTCCATAGTGTTCAGGGGTGTGTAGACTAGGTGGATTAACCATGGCTAATGAGGGGTTGCAGGGATAAAGTGGGAGGTCTGGGTCCAGTTGGGATGCTCTTCAGAGGGTTGGTATAGGCTCAATGGGCTAAATGGCCTCTTTCCGCAGGGATTCTATTCTGCCATTTTCCATCTACATGTCCTTTCCAATACGGCTCACTACGGAGTGATCTAGAATAGGGACAAATGCTATTTTTGATATCAGTGTACCTGACATTGGAGGGTGGCAGAAAAAGATAATTTATTAAAGCTCCCATCTTCTCTATATACCCATTTGGTTGACATGAAACTAATTGCAGTCTCATCTTTTTCTTCCCAGTGGTTCAAAGTAGTAAAATGTTCCTCAATGTTTCCTTCCTCCTCCAACCAGCAGGTCTTCATGGACATGGAATCAGTTAATGGATGATTCCCAATTTGTCTCCAGTTCTCTTTTACTCTGCTCCACATTGCAGGTGTCCCACATGGAGCGTTATGGCCCCCCATCTTAACTTATCAATGAAAAGAAATAAACTGGGGCATAGGGCAACTCATTTTAGTTGTTCATTCTGAGAGTTGAGAAGAGACCAAAAATTTCAGCGTTTGTGATTTCCCTTTCGAGTGCTGGAAGAATTAGTCATCCTGTTTGAGTCTGAAGGTTTCCCAGTGTGTCTCAGCCAAATCACAAGGTGCAGGGTTCCAGCTGCTGTGTGCAAGGGGCAAATGGAAAGAGGAAGCACCATTGTGGCAGAGAGACAGGTTGTGGCATCCTAAAATTTTGCATCCCAATTTGTCCTTGTTTTTAAAAAAAAACGTGGAACAGAAATTGATAAAAGCAACTTTTTTGTGTTTTAACTTTATGGAGCACCTCAACATATGTTATTTGTCACAGTTGTTTGTTGTTAGAATCTTTATTTGTAATAAATAGTAGTTGTTGTTAAGTGCAGAAACATGATCCATCTGGATCTTGCTGACAAGTAAATTGGAGACTTTGCAGACTTCAATAAAACTAACAATGAACTCCTATGATGACTGGAAATAGCAGGGCTTGATGTCCAGTGAGGCATCTTCAAATTGGGTTACATGTGCTGTAGCATTTATGACAGTTGTGATTTCAGTCCTCCTCCATTATCATTTCTGAATTATTTGCTTTAATGTTTGTTTTGTCTAGTTTTTCCCCCCATCTTTTTAGATAATGTATTCACTTCCTACACTCTGTTGAATGTGAAACCTCCTTACTAGGTACCCTCCCAACTTAAGGAAAGAAACTGCATTTCATACGGGATCCTACGTAAGAAGCAGTGATTGACTATTCAATCACTGGAGGATCACAAACAAGCTCGCTGTAGTTCTGTGCACAAACGTGGTGTTCAGAAGGGGCTGATAGAATGCAATAAGAATGAGACCCCCTGGCTGCTGATGTAGCCCTTCTTTACCTAAATGAACTGAAACTAGTTGCAGTGTCCAAGATGAAGTTAAATGGTTTGTCCCCTGAACTTGTAATCTATTTGTTATAATCCAGCTGCTTCACTAGCTGAGCCAGATAGAGCCTATTCAGTAATCTCATTGCTAACCTTGAGCTTTCCTTTTCATAGGATACTCGCTTACTGCTGGACAGAGAGTCACACATCCCAGGCAGTTCAGCTATGTGGCAGGAGGCCCGCGCCATAATCACACAGGAGCAGTGTTTGTTCTCAGACAGAGCACAGATGATGAATTAGCTATCGAGCACACTATAATGGGAAGTCAAACAGGGTCTTACTTTGGGAGTTCAGTGGCTATTGCTGATCTTAATAATGATAGGTAAGTAAAGTGGAAATTTCAAGCTTGCTGTACACATCTTTGAACTTTTTTACCATTACCATTTGAATGGTGTAGACTGCCTCTTCCCTATTGGGGAATTCGTATTCCTGAAGTAAGTAGAAAGAGACCCAAACCGATTATCCATTGGGAACAGCATTGTAAGTAGATCTCTTGTCATGCTGGCTTTCCCAACCCATTTCTTCAATGGTTGTTTCAATTTCCATTGGGTCCAAACTAAATTAGACCACTGAGATTTTTGAATTCAGTGATCTAAATCCCAGATTTATAAATGGGAGCAGCCGCGTCTTTATTATAGTGAGATACAAGAGCATATGTTTAAAAATGGCTCTTATTAGAAAATAATTTTTAGGAAAGAAGTTCAGAATGACTTTCAGTTTGTGGGAACAGAGGAGTGAGCTGTACATATCTGTTTTCATTCCGGAGGGAGGGATTAAGTTCTTTTTAGTCTGGGGAAATGTGGGATTAGGAGGCAAACAAGTAAAGTGACTGGTGTCCTTATTTAGAAAACATGGAAGAATGAGGGAAGCTTCTAACTGCAGTCTTCAAAATGGCTATAGAATGATAAGTATACAACTTCAGGTGACAGCTTTACGATCTGGAACTTGAAATTGAGACATGGATACTCTGCAATCTCATTAATCTGCTTTATGTCTAATCCTGCCAAATTACTAAATTTTTGCAGCAAATTTAATGCAGAAAATAGCTTTGTCCTCATTTGCCAACGGGAAAAAGAGCATCTGTCAGCGGCCAGCACGTTGTTAGGCTGGGCACATCAGCCTCATTTGCAAATGTCTGCCTTCTATTCCATTTGTGCATATATTTTTCATCAACCTATTCAGATGTGCTGTGACACATCTCGGGCAAGTGGGTCTTGAACTCTGATGTTCTAGCCCAGAGATTGTGGAACTACCACTGTGCCACAAGACTCCCATTATATTTTTTTGACATTGGGCCTAACTAAAGACAATTCAGCTGAGGACTCAGGAATCATTCTGTACAACAGCTGATCAATGCCACTGCTAATTAAGTAGGATGCTTGAACAAATATCCCTTTAGGATTTGGATTGCAGGTGCTTCCTGACCTAAGAATATTGTTGCAACATATCTGTAGTGTATTGATTGTTAAACTCCCCTCCCACGCTAAATATCCCCAGTTCGAAATCAGGCAGAAACACTGTCAACCAGCCTAGTGTGAGTTGAAAGCTATAGTATTGGTGCTGCGTTTTGTGGTGCAGCATTCATGTCCTTACCTCTGGGCCAGAAGGTCCAGATTCAAGTCCCATTTGCCCCAGTGTATTCTCTCAACACTACCAAATGAGTTGATTTAAAATTAATTCTTATTTTCTCAGTTTTTTGCTTCATTGCTACAATGTAAAAGAACTTTAGATTCCAAAATTCATAACGATTTGAAAGCAACGTGTGCATTGTGAGCATTTTTATAGAACAGCCTGTTTAACCATGAGCTAAATGATGCAGTTTTACTCATGTTTGAGTGAGGTTCTTGTGAGACAGATGTATTGAAGTTTTTATTACAACATTAATTCTTTACAAGGCTATGATGTCATAGATATACACATATAATATGGGCGCTCTGTTTGCTGATGTTACGGTACGTTGAATACACTTAACTGACTAACTACACTGACTTGTATTAGAACAAAGAACAAAGAAAGTTACAGCACAGGAACAGGCCCTTTGGCCCTCCAAGCCTGCATTGATATGCTGCCTGTCACAACTGAAACCCCTACCCTTCCGGGAACCGTATCCCTCTATTCCCATCCTATTCTAGAGAAAGAGTGACTGAAGACAAGTCAGGTAGCTTTTGCACCAAAAAGTCACATATCATGATGTTATGTAACTTTTAAAGGTGCAGTTGGTGTGGATCTGTTCCAAATTACAATGCCTGTATTTTCTTTTTGCAGAATGGGAACCCTTTTCAAGATGAACACATACAGTGATGCAAATACTGGGCTCATTCTTGGAGCTTTTTGACCAAGTATCAATCGCACTGAGTTTTTTGGAGAACTTTTCAGCACAAAGCTGAGCGGGATTTGTCACCATATCTGAGCAAACTGTCCACTGTAACTACTTGCCCCTCCCTGTGGCAGTCCCCTTGCCTCATCTTGCCACATGCCATTCCTGGACCAACTCACCAGTCGGTGAATAGCCATTGAAAGACCATGATCCCTGGTGTCAACACCATCTTTACAAGTCTGCCATGCAACCAGACAAGTGCTGGCAGTCTGGTATTGCCCTTTGTTGGCAATGTAATGACATAGCAGCCACAAAACCCATGGTACTCAACATGTGGCTAACACTCCCTTGCACATGCAACCCCATATTTGTATGGTAGTTGTTGTTTAAACGCCAGGCCATACCTGTCCTTAGCTACACCCGGCCCAAACATTCTCTTAAGTTGGCACTACCCTGACAAATGCCCACTGTAGACCTGCATCATGTCATTGTCTGATAGAGGGACATCATTTATCGACAAGTAATTGGACAATTCTAAGCATGAGCTTTTATTCACAGACAAAAAACTTGAGCATAAATGAGAAAAGTAGAGGCTCACAATGCAAACCAAATGCTGGCGTCATGACCAATGACTGTTTGACAGTGTTTGATGATCTTCTGCACCCAGTAGAAATGGCTGTCAATGAGCTCTTGTCTGGCTTAACTAGATGCAGACCTTCCCTCCATCATAAGTTCCAAAGTGCGGATGTTTGCCAATGATTGCACAATGTTCAGCACCATTCATGACTCCTCAGATACTGAAGTAACTCATGTTCAAATGCAACAAGTAGGGATAAAATCCAGGCTTGGGCTGATCAGTAATAAGTAACATTCATTTTTTCTTTATTCGTTCATGGGATGAGGGACGTCACTGGCTAGGCAGCATTTATTGCCCATCCCTAATTGCCTAGAGGGCAGTTATGAGTCAACCACATTGCTGTGGGTCTGGAGTCATATGTAGGCCAGACCAGGTAAGGATGGCGGTTTCCTTCCCTGTAGAACATTAGTGAACCAGATGTGTTTTTCCGACAATTGACAATGGATTCACAGTCATCATTAGGTTCTTAATTCCAGACATTTATTGAATTCAAATTCCACCATCTGCCGTGGCGGGATTTGAACCCAGGTCCCCAGAACGTTATCTGTGTCTCTGGATTAATAATCCAGCGAAAATTCCATTAGGCCATTGCCACACAAATGCCAGGCAATGACCATGCCCAAGAAGAGATAATTTAGCCACCGTCACTTGACATTCAATGGTGTTACCATCACTAAATCCCCCACTATCGACATCCTTAGTGTTACACTGACCAGAAATTCAACTGGACTTGCCACATAAACACAGTGGCTATGAAAGCATTTCAGAGGCTGGAATACTATGATGAGTAACTCACCTCCTGACTGTCCACCGTCTACAAGGCACAAGTCAGGGGTGTGATGGAATAGTCCCCACTTGCCTGGATGGGTGAAGCTCCAACAACATTCAAGAAGCTTGACACATCCAGCACAAGGTAGCCCACTTGACCGGCACTACATCCACAAGCATCCAACCCTCCACCACCGACGCTCAGTACACACTGCTGCTACTATCTACAAGATGCACTGCAGAAATTCACCAGAGATCCTTAGACAGTCGCTTCCAAACCCACAACCACTTCCATCTGGAAGGATAAGAACAGCAGGTATATGGGAACAGCACCACCTTCAGGTTCCCCTCTAATCTACTCACCCTCCTGACTTCACTGTCACTGGGTCAAAATCCTGAAATTCCCCTCTAAAAACATTGAGGGTCAACCCACAGCATTTGGCCTGCTATGGTTCAAAAAGGCAGCTCAACACCACCTTCTCAAGGGCAACTAGGGACGGGCAATAAATGCTGGCCAGCCAGCGACGCCCACATCCCAAAAGTGAATAATAAAAACAGCTTATGAAATCACAATTTGTTTGCATTTGAAGAGTGCCATCATGGAGAGTATTACTTTGTCTCTGAGTGACCAAAAGGAATGGAGTAGCTCAGGGAACTGTTGGATGTGTTGAGGCCACCTGCTGATGATCATCTTGAGCAGTTCCAGTGATTATCATGTGACATAGTTTGCTGAATCTGCTCTGCTGAGCTGTAATCAAAAGGTGTGAGATTGAGGTTGGCTTCTAGAATCATTTGCTGTGCAAGTGATGTCTCCTTGTAGACGATTATATGTATATCTATGTATTTCACTATATCAATAATACAAGGTCTACCTGTATCAATGATGTAAACATTCCGGGTATCCATCCTAAGGATCCACAATAATATTTAAGATGGAAAATACCAAAGCAAGGGATATCCAACTTGCAAACAGTTAAGAATGTCTGTACCACGCGATAGGAGTTTCCTGAGTACATCTCATGTTAGATGCAAAAAAGAATGATATTTGCACTGGCATCAGTGTCAGTCTCGACATATAGTGCATGTTGTTCATTCCTTTTAGGACAGATCACTTGGAAGATGGTAAAAGCTGCAGGTTTTCTGATGAGGGGCGTAAGGTTTTCCACTTGTTGTGTCTGACTAGGTTTTACTGTAACATTGCAGTTACCTCTTCGACTTTACTGACCTGCTTGCATGTTATGGATGGAATTTTAGAAACTTTTATTTGGTTGTGTTCCTTGATTGGCTCTACTTCACATGTGGGATTTCTCTGGGTTATTGGCTAAAATTTGTAAGAAATCCTTGTAGAATAAAGCCTGCATCTGCCACAAAATACTCAGCATTGCCTTGGTGGGTGAAACAAGCCACACCTCATACAAGATTTTTACAGAGCACTATCCTCGTTGATGGATTTGGTTCAGAATTAAGCATTTCAAAATGCTTCTGGCCTGCTCCAATTGCTTTGAACTTGCATCCTTCTTCTAGCTGTACACTAATGGTATATTTTTTGGGTTTATCTAGAAGAGCTGTCAGAGGAAGTAGTGGAGGCTGGTACAATTAC